ATATTCTGTGGCTTTGGGGTGAAATGTTCTGAAGATGTCAATTAATTCCATCTGATTTAGTGAGTCATTTAGGATTGATGTTTCTTTGCTGATTTTTTGTTTAGAGGATTTGTCCAATGGTGATAGTGGTGTATTAAAGTCCCCTACTATGATTGTATTGCTGTCAATCTCTCCCTTGATCTCCTCCAGAAGTTTTCTTATGTATTTGGGTGCTCCTATATTGGGTGCGTATATGTTTACCAGAGTTATTTCTTCTTCTTGGATTGCTCCCTTTAGTATTATGAAGTGGCCTTCCTTATCTCTTTTTATGTCCTTCACTTTGAGTCTAATTTGTCAGATATAAGTATTGCTACCCCAGCTTTTTTTTCATTTTCATTCGCCTGAAAAACCTTTCTCTATCCCTTCACCATCAGTTTGTGTGTGTCTTTTTTTCTGAGGTGGGTTTCCTGTAGACAGCAGATATATGGGTCATGTTTTCTTATCCACTCAGTTACCCTATGTCTTTTGATTGGGGCATTTAATCCATTTACATTTAAAGTTATTATTGATAGATACATGTTTGTTGCCATTTTTATTCTTTACCCCTGTGTTCCTTCTTCGTTTCCTATTTTTTCTTTTTACAGCAGACCCTTTAGCATTTCTTGCATTGCTGGTTTGGTGGTAATAAACTCCCGTAGTCCTTTTTTGTCTGTGAAGCTCCTGATTTCACCCTCAATTTTGATAGCCTTGCTGGGTACAGTATTCTTGGATTCAGACCCTTCCTTTGCATGACTATGTATATTCCATTCCATTCCCTTCTTGCCTGATGTGTTTCTGTTGAGAAATCAGTCGCTAGTCTGATGGGGGATCCTTTGTAGGTAACTTTCTGTCTCTCTCTGGCTGCTTTTAAGATTCTTGCTTTGTCGTTGGTGTTTGCCAATTTAATTATAATGTGCCTTGGTGTCAGTCTTTTGGGGTTCATTTTGTTTGGGACTCTGTGAGCTTCTTGGATTTGTGTGAGTTTTTTCTTCCCTATATCAGGGAAGTTTTCTGTCATTATTTTTTCAAACAGGTTTTCTATTCCTTGCTCAGTTTCCTCTCTTTCTGGCACCCTTATTATGTGGATGTTGTTTCATTTCGTGTTGTCCCAGAGTTCTCTTAGGCTCTCCTGCTGCTTTTTAATTTTTTTTTTCTAGAAGCTGCTCTGCTTTGGTATTTTTTCCTACCTTGTCTTCTAGCTCACTGATGCAGTTCTCTGCTTCTTCTAGTCTACTGTTGATGCTTTCTGTTGAGTTCTTTATGGCAGTGATGTCATTTTTCATTTCTTCTTGGTTCTTCTTCATTTCCTCTTGGTTCTTACACATATTGTTGAATTTGTCTTCCATTCTTTTCATCCACTTTATGACCATTTCTCTGAATTCTTTCTCTGACAGGTTGCTTGCCTCCATTGCCTCCATTTCGTTTACTTCCTTTACTGGTGATGCCTGTTTTTCTTTCATATGCGGGCTGTTTCTTTGTCTCCCCATGATCTCTCTTCTCCAAGTGTTTGGTTATGTAGTTCTCTCTCTGCTGCGTTGATTTAAAGGTACAAAATACAACACAACAAGGTACAACACACAAGGCACTGAACACAAATGTATTCACGATACTAATAACCCCAAATAAAGGTGACCACCAGAGCAAAGAGAATTAGGGGATAAGGAAGAAAGAAGAGAAAAAGAAAAAAGAGTAAAAGAAAAGAAAAGGAGTGCAAAAATAAAATTGGTAAAAGGGAAAAAAAAGTAAGAGAGAAAAGAAAGAGAATGAAATAGTAGAGGGGAAGAAACTATTTATATGGGGAGAAAACTCCAATAGAACAGCCACTAATCCCAACAAATTCCAGCAACAGACTCCTAGAGATAAATGCAAACTACAAACAACAACTAATATCAAGCGAGGCAAGGGAAAACAGAAGCAAAAAAATAACCGGAAAAAGACCAACAGAAAAAGAAAAAGAAAAAGAAAAACAATCTCACAAACAAGCATTAAAAAAACCCAATATACTCAACAATCAAGCAAACAACAACAAAATGACAGAGAGAGAAAATAATTTGGATAGTGAAGAAAGAGTAGAGAGAGCTATATATGGATTTAGAGCAGGGGATTGGAAATTAGATATATAAGTAGGGTGAAATTTTAACAGGGGGTAAAAAGAAGGAATAGAGAAATCTAAAGCAGGAATAGGGTAAGAGAAACAGGACAACAAAAGGGGAAAAGTGAGGAAGAGAGTTTAGGCATAAAGGTAAAGTTGAGGTAGAGTAAAATGATGCTAAAGGAAAGATGAAAATAGAATGTAGAACACTAATCCCAAAATAAAATAAAGATAAAGAGAATATAAAATCACACTTTAAAAAAAAGGTAAATGGTAGTAGTAATAATACTGGTTAAAAATAAAAAATGTAGTAATTAAGAAGGTAAAATCAGGTGATGAAAAAAGAAAAAAAATTAGTTTCTTAAGTAAAATGTGAAAAAAAGAAAGAAAGAAAAAAATGTGTAGTGAAGGTCCTTTACTTCCTCTACTCTTCTGTTTGGCACGCCTTAGTCCTGTCAGGTATTCAGGAGAGTGTTGAAGTTCCCTGCGATACACTGTTCCTCTGTGTTGTAAACCACAGTCCTGATTTTAAAGCAGGCAGTATTTGTTTCCCAGACTGCCTTTATTTGTATTTACAGAAGAGTCAGTTTGTGGTTCAGCCCCTGGGTGGCAGTGTTTCTGGATTGACCTCTGAGGCTATAAGTCCTCTCTAGCCAGTAGTTAGGTTTTGTTTTCCCTATCGCACTTAATACTGGTTTGGGAGAGTCGGCTGCCCCAGAGCTAGTTCTTTGATCATTACTCCCTGCTCTGATTTCCAGGTTCCACAAAAAAACAACTTTCCCCTGCAGTCTCTGTGAGTGACCCCAATTGGTGATCCTATGTATTGGGTTTAATAATCAAATGCAAAGATTTAAGGGAGAGAGAGGAAAAAAAAAAAAGCCTGAGAAGGTGCGCGAACTGGCAACTCTCCACTGTCCAGCTCTGTGCGCAGTCTCTTCCGCACGTCCTCTCTCCCCTGGCACTAAGCAGCCGGCACACTGGCAAAATCCGAGGCTGCCTTTTTGCATCCAGTCCAGCTATGGGCTTATTTTTAGAGTTCCCTTCTGCCAGCAGCCCTGTGGGACCCCTTCCACACTCGCGGATCATGCTGGCCCCAACGGCTGCAGACTTTGTGGGGCGCAGACTTCCCCCACGCGCATTCCTCTCTCCAACCTGAATTGGAAACCGCACCTTTATCTAGGCGAAATCTGACCTTTCCATGAGGAGGAGCAGGGCTTGTCTGAGTCCACATATTCGCGCTGCTTGAGATCCGGTGTTCCTGAATTAGTAGCTGATCCCTGGATGCCGTGGTTGCAGGGTCTCTGGATGTATATGCTTCCATATACATCCACTCAAGATGGCGTGGTCCAATAAATACATAAATCTTAAGTATACATCTCAGTGAATAAATTAAAACCACCAGTAAGATCAAAATTTTACGTAAATTCTTAATGCTTTGGAGAATAGTAAAAGGTCAGTCCTGCTATCCTATATAATAAAAGCATAGTGTGCAAATTGTCCCTCGACCAGGAGTTCATCCGGGGGTTCTACCGAGGGGCAGGGCCAGCCAGGGGAAGGGAGGGAGGCTCTAGCAGCCACTAGGGCAGGGGTGGGCAACCTTTTTGTGAGTGCATGCCAAAACAAGCAAAATCTTTGACTCAAAATTCTTCTGCGTGCCAACCCTAATTTTTTGAGAACATGTTACACCTACTTGATATCTCTTAAGGTGTACGTATGTGAAGAACCTTGAAGAAATAATAAAATTCATTCGAGCAACAAAATCACAGTATATGATAATGAAAAATACATTTATTTTTTAATGTATACATGTAACTGATAGTCTGACAGAAAACTTTATGACTCCATTTGATATTATCAGTGGAACTTTTGCTGCTGCATCACTGATGACAGAGATTTTATATTTCGTGACCTTCAGAGATATGCACGAGCTACTACTTTCGTCCGTCAGGCTACTCCTATTATGAGACTTAACAAAATTCATCACTGAGAACAAAGATTCACAAGCATATGTGGATGAAATCAAAACACTGGTTGGATCTAGGAAGGCAGGGAGTGTTAAGGCAGAGGCATAGAAATTGCTCTTCCCCTCTCTTGTCAATCCATGTCTATGGTCTTTAAGATAACTTGTTATGTAAAATTATTTATTTATCTAAGATGCACCTACACTGAATTTATCTGAAAAATAAGAAAGTCGATATTAAGAAAAAATTGTAAATGGAAGATTATAAGAGAGGGTTTCGCGTGCCAGAAAAAGTTACTGGCGTGCCAGGTTTGGCACTCATGCCAGGGGGTGCCCGCCCCTGCACTAGGGACCCTAGCAGTGCACAAATTTCATGCACTGGGCCTCTAGTATTTTATATTCATTAGAAGCTCTTATTTATAAACACAGTCTCTCTTAATCAGCTAGGGAAATACAGAAAAAAAATGACCTCTTTTACAAAGGGAAAAGATAGACTAGGAATAGGTAGTTGTGCTTCTGAGGAAAGACTGAAGGATTAAGGCTTTTTGGTCAGGAGAATGGGTAATTTTTATATAAAGGATTTTAGATGAAAAAGAGCTAATGTGGCTGATGCTGTACTGTGGTTTAGAAGCTTACATGTGGTGAAATGGGCTTGACTTAAAGGAGAGATTTTATTTAAATATTGGAAAAACCTTTTTGACATTTTCATGGTAAATTCCTGAAATGTGCAACTTGTGTGAAGTCTGTATGAATGAGTAGCTTTAAGAGTAGAGATAAGTATCTGTGTTTGTTTAGCTATTAAATTGCGTAGACACAAGTTTGTATCCTTCCTCCTAGTAAAAGAAATGTAAGGTTCTGTGACCTACGCCTAACAGCAGTAGAATATCCACTTGGTCATGTCTTGAGTTTGGTTTTGTTTTCTTTGTCTAGAAGATTAAGATTGCAGCCCTACGAATGTATACTAGCTGTGTGAAGAAAACTGACTTCGAGGAATTCTTTCTAAGTAAGTTACTGTTTTCGATAGTTCTAAAAAGGAAAACGAATCTACTTTTTACTTTTATGATTGATCTTAATAGGATTGATTTTTTTAAGTTACTAAGGAAATCATTTTTCTTCACAACATGTGTAATAAAAGCTGCTAGTTTTTTCCTGTTGATAGAATAAACAAAGACCAGAAGAACCCTATAAATAAAACATTTTAACTATTTGGGGGGAAAATCTAAAAATTTGTGTAATACAGCAATTTTCAACCTTTTTCATCTCATGATACACATAAACTAATTACTAAAGTTCTGCAGCAGACCAAAAAACATGTTTTGCTCATCTGACAAAAAGGATGGGTATAATTTTGATTCATTCACACCATGTGTCATTTTTTTGACAATCTAAAGGGAAAGAGGTCAGTGCCCCTGACTAAATAGTCAGGTATCGTATGTTTTTTTTTTTTAGCTTGCTTTCTTTCCTTTTCCTTCCTTTCCTTTTCCTTTTCCTTTTCCTTTTCCTTTTCCTTTTCCTTTTCCTTTTCCTTTTCCTTTTCCTTTTCCTTTTCCTTCCTTCCTTCCTTCTTCTTTCTTTCTTCCTTCTTCCTTCCTCCCTCCCTCCCTCCCTCCCTCCCTCCCTCCCTCCCTCCCTCCCTCCCTCCCTCCCTCTCTCTCTCTCTCTCTCTCTCTTTCTTTCTTTCTTTCTTTCTTTCTTTCTTTCTATTTTTATTGATTTCAGACAAGAAGGGAGAGTGAGAGAGAGTTAGAAACATCAACGATGAGAGAGAATCATTGATCGATTGCCTCCTGCATGCTCCCTACTGGGAATCGACTCCACAACCTGGGCATGTGCCCTTGACAGGAATCAAACCTGGGACCCTCCAGTCCGCAGGCCAATGCTCTATCTACTGAGCCAAACAGCTAGGGCAGGTATTGCATGTTTAAAAAATTTTTGTGGCACACTGGTTAAAAATTGCTGATCTAGTACTTGTTTTACATTCTGGATGTCTTGCTTAACATTTTGAGTCAACTTTTTGCCAATCGGTCCTCTTTTATTTCTAGTTTTTAATTGTTTTAGTTAACCCAGGATTGTGCCTTATGATTTTTTCTTCTTTCTTTTGACCCTGTATTGGGTCAAAAGGCTCATGCAGTTTTATTATTTATATCACATTGATAAATTGCTTTTCAAAAGGGTTTTACTGGCTTAGACCACCATTAGCCTTTGATTATGTAAAATATCCATTTTGATGTTATAAACTGTTGTAGTTATTAAAAAAGTTAATTGAAGCAGGTACTTGTAAAGTCATTGAGAAAGTTTAAGCCATTTCTACTTCCACAAGTTTTGGGAGGAAATGTATGCTAAGCAGGTTTGTAGTAATAGCCATTATCCTCAAAGCAACAAACACCTAAACACACACACACACACACACACACACACACATATACTTGGTATTGTTCACAGACAGCAAATACTGTATTTGTATATAATTATGTTAACAACAATAAAGAAAGCTAGATGCAGTTTTTAAACATGTATTTTTATTGATCTCAGAGAGGAAGGGAGAGGGAGAGAGAGATAGAAACATCAATGATGAGAGAGAATCTTTGATTGGATGCCTCCTGCACACTCCCCCATTGGGAATTGAGCCTGCAACCAGGGCATGTGCCCTGACCAGGAATCAAACCTTGACCTCCAGGTTCATAGGTTGACACTCAACCTGTGAGCCACTCTGGCTAGGCTAAATGCAGTTCTGATTATTTAATAACTATTTTTAAAAATATATTTTTATTGACTTCAGAGAGAAAGGGAGAGTTAGAGAGGGATAGAAACATCAGTGATGAGAATCATTGATTGGCTGCCTCCTGCACACCCCACACTGGGGATCTAGCCTGCAGCCTGGGCATGTGCCCTGACCAGGAATCGAACTGTGACCTCCTGGTTCATAGGTTGATGCTCAACCACTGAGCCATGCTGGCCGGGCACTATTTATTTTATTTTATTTTATTTTATTTTATTTTATTTATTTTATTTTATTTTATTTATTTTATTTTATTTATTTTATTTTATTATTATTTTATTTATTTATTTATTTATTTATTTATTTATTATTTATTTTATTATTTTATTTATTTTATTTTATTTTATTTATTTTATTTTATTTATTTTATTTATTTATTTTATTTTATTTTATTTATTTTATTTTATTTATTTATTTATTTTATTTTATTTTATTTTATTTTATTTTATTTATTTTATTTTATTATTTTATTTTATTTCTAGAGGCCCAGTGCACGAAATTCGTGCACTGGGGGCGGGGGCGGGGGGGGTTGTCCCTCAGCCCAGCCTGCACCCTCTCCAATCAGGGACATCCCTCTCACAATCCAGGACTGCTGGCTCCCAACCTCTCGCCTGCTTGCCTGTCTGATTGCCCCTAACTACTTATGCCTGCCAGCCTGATCACCCTCTAACCACTCCCCTGCCAGCCTAATTGATGCCTAACTGCTCCTCGGTTGGCCTGATTGCCCCCAACTGCCCTCCCCTGCCAGCCTGGTCGCCCCAAACTGCCCTCCCCTGCCGGCTTGGTTACCCCCAACTGCCCTCCCCAGCAGGCCTGGTCCCCCCCAACAGCCCTCCCCTGCAGGCCTGGTCGCCCCCAACTTCCGTCTCCTGCAAGCCTGGTCACCCCCAGTGGCACTCCCCTGAAGGCCTGGTCTCCCTAACTGCTCTCTCCTGCAGGCCCAGTCACCTCCAACTGCCCTCTCCTGCCAGCCCGGTCACACCCAACTGCCCTCCCCTGCTGGCCTGATTGCCCACAACTGCCCTCCCTTGCAGGCCATCTTTGACCACATGGGGGCAGCCATCTTGTGTGTTGGAGTGATGGTCAATTTGCATATTGCCTCTTCATTATATAGGAATTTTTATTTTTTATTGATTTCGGAGAGGAAGGGAGAATAACCTCACAGGGTGATCTGATCTTAAATTCCTAACTGGGCAGGTCATGGTGGGTAGTCATGCCCAATGCTTATTTCTTCTTTTGGTTTTTTAAAAATATATTTTTATTAATTTCAGAGAGGAAGCAAGGGGGAGAGAGATAGAAACATCAATGATGAGAGAGAATCATTGATTGGCTGCCTCCTGCATGCCCCCTACTGGGGATTGAGCCTGCAACCTGGGCATGTGCCCTTGACCAGAATCGAACCCAGGACCCATCCATCCACAGGCCGAAGCTCTATCCACTGAGCCAAACCAGCTAGGGCTGGTTTTTTGTTTTTGTTTTTAAACCAAATGCAAGTTTTGTTTATTTTTACTATTTCAGCAGATTGATATTATATTATAAATTTTAAAATATCATAATTTGTCATCCTGATTTAGTATCCACCTTCCATTTCTTATTTAGTTTTTTAAAGAATAGTTTACTGATTTTTAGAGAGAGGAATGGAGAGAGAGAGAGAGAGAGAGAAACATCAGTTGGCTGTCTCCTGTGCACCCTTACTAGGGTTGGAGTCTGTAACTGGGACATGTACGCTTGACTGGAAATTGAATTGGCAACCTCCTAGTGCAGCAGTCACCAACCGGTGGTCTGCAGACCACTGGTGGTCTGTGAGGTCCGAAAGGTTGGCAACCGCTCATTTAAGGAAACCTTTGGAGCAGCGGTTGCCAACCAGTGGTCCGTGAGGTCCGAAAGGTTGACGACTGCTGTCCTAGTGCACAGGATGACACCCAACCAAATGAGCCACACTGGCCAGGGCCATTTCTTATTTATTCATAGTAAAGAAAGTAAACTTTCCTGCTTTTTAAAAAATCTTTAATAGTTTCTCATTTTAGGAAAAATTAATCTGAAAGGAAAAAATTATCTGATGAAGAAACTAATAATATTAATAACTGGATTTTTCTTATGTAGCTTCCTGAATCCATGTGCTTAAGTATTTTTCATCAGATATTAAAACCTAATTCTCAGACACCTATTTAATATTTGATTCAATAAATTACTCAAATTTTTATAATTATTTTCAAATGATGTTTGCTAGTTATCTTAGCCAATCCTCATTATTGAAAATTCTTGAGTTAATGTTACAGTATTGAATAATGAGACATATTTAAGTTCATTTTTGTTTTGTTTTCAGAAACAGTTGAAACTTAAAGAGGCTAAGTGACTTGTCCAAAGTTGTGTAGTCAAGCCTTGAGCTTATGTCATATGGTTTAAAATCCAGGCCCTGGCTGATTTGACTCAGTAGTGTATAGAGTGTATGCCTTCGGACTGAAGGGTACCCAGTTTGATTCCGGTCAAGGGCACATGCCTGGGTTGTGGGCTCGGTTCCTAGTGGGAGGTGTGCAGGAGGCACCCGATCGGTGATTCTCTCATCATTGATGTTTCTATCTCTTTCCCTCTCCCTTCCTCTCTGAAGTCAATAAAGAATTTTTTTTTAAGAAAACCTGGCATTAAAAAACAATAATAATAAAATAAAATCTAGGAGTTTTCCCACTATACATATTGTTTGTGATTGAATGTAACTGCAAATTAGAAATTGTAATTTATCTAATCTTTTGATACTCTATTATACTTACATAAGAACTGCTTATGAGATGTTCTGTTAGTATAGTAAATTGTTGTTTATATATATTAAAGTGTGTATATCTCAATGTACTTTGTCCTAACTTTGTCCATTGAAGTAGTTAACTAGGAAGGCAGTACATTTTTTAATGACACCACTCTGATTTCAGGTTTTCTAAGACTCAATTTGAGAATTGCTTTGTAGAACCATAGAGTGTTCATTTGTATTATGCTCCATTGTGGTACATCTTGGTCATTTGTGGGTAGATTAAATTTTAAAATCAAGCCAAAGAAATTACAAGCTGTGGCTAGTGGGTAATAATAATAAAAAAGCCAATCTGAAAATACCATTTGTAGGCAGATAATATCTATAAAATAATGAGACTGACTATTTTTGCATGTTAGGTTCTAAAGAGTAGGCCAGACAGGTTTGGGGTAAAAGAAGAATGTGTGTATGTATGTATATGTGTGTGTGTGTGTGTGTGTGTGTGTGTGTGTGTATTACACCTTTCAAGTGGCCATTGGTCCCTTGGGTTTTTGGTATTTTAGGGCTTGACTTTAAAGTTCTGAGAGTTTAGTAATTTTTTAAAAGGATAGAGAGCCTCAGGTAGCTTATCAGTGTCATCCTCACTCCAACAAAAGTGAGGCCAGTGCTATTTCATAAAGATTGTATAAGAATGAATTATTTACCCGTAGTGTACTTGAGAGTAAACAATATGCATATCAGCTTCTTGGACATGCCCCCATAAAATACCAAAGTAGACTGTCATCTCAGAGCCAAAGTGTTCAAAGATCTTGATCCAGAGAGCTGGATATTGGGGATTCTGACTGGTGAGATACCTTAGCAGCCCACAGTTGTGCATAAATGATCACACCTTCTGTGAGCAGGCACTGCTTTGCTAACTGGTCTTTTAGAGATCAGTTCTTTTATGAAAAACACTGTGGATCAGAGGTGGCCAATCAGTAAAGTTTGTGTTTAATTTCATACTGCTGTCTGCAGACTGTTTTGTTGTTAAGCCTTAAGACAGCGGTTCTCAACCTGAGGGTCGCGACCCCTTTGGCGGTCGAACGACCCTTTCACAGGGGTCGCCTAAGACCATCCTGCATATCAGATATTTACATTACGATTCATAACAGTAGCAACATTACAGTTATGAAGTAGCAATGAAAATAATTTTATGGTTGGTTCACAATATGAGGAACTGTATTTAAAGGGCCAGAAGGTTGAGAACCACTGCCTTAAGAGATAATACTTTCAGAAGAGACTCTTTAATGAATGAGTCAATGACTGAAGTTCATCATTTTATTGACACAGTCTTAAATTAGTGAGTTTTTCCAAAGGTAATTTGACTTCTAATGTTTAAATGACTCACTGAAAACAAAACAATACTGAATATGTATTGATATCTATTAAATATAATCATTCTACTAAACATTTTACAGGCCTTATTTAATCTTCACAAAAATCCTATAAGGTAGGTTCTCTTGTTCTCCCCATTTTTATAGAGAAGAAAACTGAGGCACTGAGAGGTTAAGTAACTTGACTCAGTCACATAGCGACTGAGAGGTAGTTAAGGTTTTAAATCAAGCAGTTTGACCCCAGAGCCTGCATTAAAAAATAACTGTGTTCGCCGAAACCGGTTTGGCTCAGTGGATAGAGCGTCGGCCTGTGGACTGAGGGGTCCCATGTTCGATTCCGGTCAAGGGCATGTACCTGGGTTGCGGGCACATCCCCAGTGGGAGATGTGCAGGAGGCGGCTGATCAATGTTTCTCTCCCATCGATGTTTCTAACTCTCTATCTCTCTCCCTTCCTCTCTGTAAAAAATCAATAAAATATATTTTAAAAAAATAAAAAATAAAAAATAACTGTGTTAAGCCTGCTACCCTATAACAGTAATTAATTATTTATTTTTTTCCAATTTGGTGTTGAGGAAGAAAGTACTAGTCTCAGAAATAATGCACTGAGTGTTTATTGGAGCAAGTGTGATTATGGCAAAAGACTCTACAGCAGGTTTTATCTTTGAAGTGTTTAAACTCATTTCATTGAGCTAAAGAATCTGCTGTGTTTTTGTGTTATTCACAGTCAGATATTCAGTGGTCTTGTTTTTTAGGGCTTTATGCTCTGGGTTTCTGTTTTGACCCCAATGGGTACAGGGAGTCAATCATATACCAGCTCTTTTCCCATCCTCAGCCCTGAGCCGACCCCCAGAAAGGAAAATTGTGAGCCACGTCCAGCTGCTGGCCTGTCTGTCTGTGCTTTCCAACCCAAGAACTGATTCCCTCTCTGAGAAAATTGGAAAAGCTCCTGGAGGCTGCTGAGAAGCTTTGATCTAGAGGTAGCAATTGAACAGATTGTCCTTTAGAAGCAGCCAAATTTCATTTTCCAGATTGAAAGACAGACTTCCAAGAAAACTTTTCTTTTTAATGTTTTGTTCTAGCATCCAAAAAAGACCCAGCTTCAGATCCGGGCTGAGAGTTTCTCATGGCTATTCTTGTTCTAGGTGGAGGGTGGTTGGCCCACTCTCAGATGGCTTGCGTCTTAATAGCTGCATGGCCAGCCAGGCCAGCCTTCACCTCCCTCCTGCTGAGCTCCAAGAGGAAGTCCACTTGACAGCTGCTGGGCACCTCCCAGTAAGCTCACCAGAATATTTTGGTGTCACTTTGTGACAGACCTGGACTTAAACCTCAACCCAGCCACTAGCTCATTAATATTGTGGCTGCCCGCAAGTTACTTAGCCTTTTTGAGCCCATTTCCTCATCTCTAGAATGAGGATTATAATGCCTCCCTTCAGGGATAAAGTGAGGATTAAGTGAGATAATGTATTGATGTGACCAGAAGTGGACCTGGCATGTAGTATGGGCCCTTAGTGAATGTTAGTTTCTGATATTAGTATTAGAGATACAGTTGGCAATTAAGACCACAGTACCTGGCATCAAGCAGATCTGAATTTGATCCCACATGTCTCATTTATTTCATAGCTGTGATGTTGGACAATTGTTCGGATCTCTCTAAGCATCTGTTTTCTGACCTGTCAAATGGGGATAATATCAATATCCACTTCATAGGATTGTTGGGAGGACTCATTGAGCCAATGCATGTAAAACACCTATTATTAATATCTGGCACATGTAAGCCCACAATGAATTATAGCTTTTTATTATTATTGGTGTGTTAGTATACCTCACAGAGGTCCTGTTCTGTGTTTTCTCTCCTAATGACCCCTATTGGTTATCTAGTACATTGTGAACTTCATTGTTTCATGAAAGGCAGAAGATTCCACTTATTTCTTGAGTCATTGCTCCATATGACAGACTATCCACTGATTCTTTTTTTTTCTTTATCCTCTTCTTCAGCTTTTCTCCCCATCATGTAATAAAGAGAGTACATTCAATGAAGGACCCCCCTCATCCAGTCAGAGGCATTTCTTAGAGATCTGAAAATTAAGAGGCTTGGATGCTTAAGCACTGACCTGATTTTTGGTATCTTAAACCAAGGAGAAGTCCTGCCAAGTTTTGTCATTCCTGGAGGTGATGAACAGCTTTTTGTTAGAAATGGTCTGCTTTCTTACTCAGATACAGCTTCCTAGATCCCATTTCTTTCTCCTGATTATTTATTTTAGGTGAATCACACTGGGTCACCCTTAAGGAAAGGAGACTAGAAGAACTTAAGACTTCTCAGTGGGGCTCAAGTGAAAAAGCCTATGCTTAAGAGGAATAGACAAGGTGTTGCCTGCCTAGTTTTCCAGAAGAATTTGAGACCAGGAAGGGAAAATAGCAGAATTATATGGAAGTTGGAAGGAACCATCAAAATCATTTAGGCCACTTACACAAAGTGAGAAAATTAAGGCTCTGAGAAGAGAATTGACTTGCCCAAAACTGAACTGCAAGGTGATAACAGGGACTAGAAGGCTGGTTGTCTCACTACATTCAATGCTCTTTGAACTTGTGGTCTTGCCCTGTGGTTCCCCTGGACTACTCTGATAGTATAATCAGAAAGTACTATAACTGCCATATATTTTAGTTGAACAAATTCTTACCAGTATTTAAAATATAGTCAATATTTCTCTGCTGGAACCATACATATTTATACTTTATTGTTATTTTCTAGGGTGTCAGATGCCTGATACATTCAATTCATGGTTTCTTATAACTCTTCTTCATGTCTGGTAAGTGAGCAATTTAAGTGAAGTTGCCAAATATATTTTTTTCAAATGCTGCTGATTTGTAACTTACAGCCTCCACCAGGGCTGATTATATGAAATGGCAGTTGTTCAGGCATTAAAAACTGATCTTTCATTTTAATAATTGGTGTCTTGAAGCACATTTTTATTAAAGGTCAAAGCATAGTCCCAGAAAGAAGCTAATATTTGTAGGATTTTCTCAAAGAACATCTAACCCAGTGAACAATTCTATCAGTATCTCTAAGAGACTCTATGAGCTTAGATGGAAAGTTCTTTCCCTTGGCTGTTTTAGGAAAGTTCACATTTACGTAAAAGTGGTTTAAATTGTGAGAATTCGTGGTCATTTTCATTGCTGGTCATCAGAAACCTATAACAAATTATAGCACTGACATTTACGCCTGTACCTCTAAAATGTGCATACAGGTTAGATTCATGCCAGGTTTGTTGCATGTAAAAATATTTAACACCTTAAACAGTATATTTTTTCTTCAGCTGCAAAATAAGTAGCCAAAAAAAATTAATTTTTCATCTAATGTTACACAGTATTAAAGGTCAGAAGGATATAGGAGAGACATTGAAGTGGGGGCTGGGGAATGTATTTATTGAACTGCCAGGTCTTGGGAAAGTAAATTCTGGAGAACTAAGTTTACTACTTTGACCATAGTGAGTATCTGAGGAACGTAGGTAATGGTTGCCCTGTCAAAAGGACCCTTGTTTGAGACTCCCTTCAGCTGAGCTTTGCATCACAGAACTGACTACTATATAAAGACTTTTTGGTTTTGATCACTTCTGAAATATTTCTTCTTCTGAACTCAGTCACTGAGATTGGCTAAGGGACCTTAGGTAGCAGTGCATTTTATGTTATTATTTTTTTTAAGCTGGTAGTTTATTGCATGCACACTGTCCTGGGAAGTTTGCTGGAAACTAGCAATAGTTCTAAGAAGCTCACAGTCTAGTGAGGGAGATAAGACATGTACAGTGGTCAGTTGTAAATTAATGGCTAAGTTCTATAATAAATCCGAGTATGTAGTGCTTATGGGATCACAGAGGAAGCCACAACTATCAAAACCTTTACTAGTTCTACCTGTTTCTTTGAAATATACCATGTCTTTTAAATCAGGCAGCTGAGAAGGCAAATTACCTTCTGTCTGAATGGTGAAGGTTAGGAAAAGCTTCAGGCAGGGAAGCTAGATATAATGAGAGAAAAACTACTTTTTCAAGAGGGGAGGACTGCAGAGGTGGCACTGTGGAATTACTCACTGGAAAAGTGGGAGGATTGAGAGGCTAGGCTGTTCCCAGAGGAGCTCAAAGATAATATTCAGAGGCCGTATGAAAGACTCTTTATTGCCCATATAGCTAGACGTATCAGAGTGTTAGAGGGAGTGGATGGCAAAATAAAATATATAATCCCTGTGACCACATCCCAAGGTCAATACCTGACTAATAGCAGCTGGGAGAACCTTGAAACTACTTGCAGCTCTTTTAAGTTGACCACCATTTCCAAACATGTCTGCTGAGCCTTCCTTGCGAGGTTGGTTTAATTTCTTAGAGCAGTAGGGAGTACCACCACCAGTTAAGTGGGAGGAGGGAGGCTGTCTGCTTCGAATCTACCTTGATTTCCCCTCCACTCTGCCTCCCTTAGCTCTCATGATCTGCAGGCTTTGGTGGAATGAATCACTAGCTTTTCAGTTTGAACCAGCAAACTCTGATTGAGGACCTACTGTGTGTTAAGGATTGTGGGGTATTGGAGAGAAGGATATGACATGGTGTGCACCTTCAGGAAACTTAGTCTAGTGGAAAACAGATGCAAGTACAATTGCCTGTAATGGATGACAGTGAAACAAGTGATGTGCCCAAGGTAACAGCAGGCACTATGCAAGTACAAGGAGATGAGACTAAATCCAGATTTGGTCGGAGAGGATTAGAGGGGGGGCTGTTGGATAAAGAGTGCCTCTGGCATCTAGCTGGTTTGGCTCAGTGGATAGAGCATTTGCCTGCGGACCAAACGGTCCTGGGTTTGAGTCTGGTTAAGGGCACGTACCTCTGATGCAGGCTCCTCCCTGGCCTGGTCCCTGGTCAGGGCTCATGCAGGAGGCAACCAATAGATGTGTTTCTCTCACATCGATATTTCTCTGTCTTTTCCTCTCTCTTCCACTCTCTCTAAAAATCAATGGAAAAATATCCGTGGGTGAGGATTTAAAAAAAAGAAAAGAAAACGAAGAGTGGCCCTGTGGTAGAAGTGACATTTGAGATGCACCATGAAGAGTGAGGAAAATTTCTGTCAGAGAAGAGGGGGCATTTTAGGTTGAGGGGATCTCAAAAGCAAAACACAGATCAACATGGAAAGTGAAATAAGCCAGACACAAAAGACAAATATTGTATCATTCCACTTCTGTGAAATACCTAGAATAAACTAATTCATAGGGACAGAAAGTAGATGAGAGGTAATCAGGGGCTGAGAGGAGAAAGGAATTGGGAATTCCTGTTTAATGGTAAGGGATTGTTCGGTTTGATGATAAGTTTTAAAAACAGTGGTGATGGTTACGTAACATTGTTGATGTAATTAATGCCACTAAATTGTACACTTCAAATGGCTAAAATGGCAAAATTTATTAGGAGGATTAATGGATTCACCCCAAGTCTGTGGAGAAGCTGTGTTCTTCTATCCCTTTTCTGTTAGCCTGAAGCTCCAAGGAGGATAACCAAGGGATAGCCGAATCCAATATTATAAGCTCAGTGTTCTTGCTAGAGATATATAGGGATTGAAATGCCTCCTGTGGTGGTAGTGTGTATGAGAGCTGGTGAAGCTTAGAAAGCAATCATTAAAGTAGCAAGAATCCCTCCCCGCAAACAAAACAAAACAAACAAAAAACACCAAAAAAACCAAATTGCCTAATAAACAGGATACCCTGGCAGTGGACTCTCCAGAAAGCTTGATTGGGTTCCCAAGGGTAGTGGCTCCCTGCTGGCTCTTAGAACAGGGGCAGGATTTCTCACATCCTGTTAGTTCCCTGGAGAAGGTGTTGATCTTTCCCTTATCCTGTCTGCTTTCTCTGGTTCCCAAGTTTTTCTGTGTATTGGGATTTAGGATTGGGACTCTTCCAGAAGGCCCTTATCAGTTGTGTATTTATGTGAACTTGTAACTGCAATGACCGATGTGTCCTTTGTCTTTGCTGAACAGGATTAGTATTGACTATAGCTGCTGAAACAGTGCTGAGAGAGGTTGCTGTCTGGGCTATCCAGTATCCCCACAAGGACTTGATAAAAACAGGTCTCCTCCTCTGTTCCCTGTCTTGGTCAGTGGCATTATGATCCATTCGGGTGCCCACACCAGAAACCTGGGAGTCCTCCTTGACTTTTCCCTCATTCCCTTCATCTGGTTAGTCACCAGTCACCAATTCAAACTTTTTAAAAATCTATCTATATAAGAGGCGGTGTCGCACGGAAGTAACAATGGTGATTAAATATGATCGTAACAGTGATCCGGGTAGATATAATTATCACCATGTAACTGAAGTTGCCGTCATATTCAGAAACGAAGATGGAGGACCTCCTTTTGAAAGGGACTTGCTCATTCACTGTAAACCAGATCCCAATAATCCGAATGCCACTAAGATGAAACAGATCAATATCCTGTTTCCTACATTAGATGCAATGACCTATCTTATTCGTTTCCCACATGGTGAAAAAGGCTCGGGAACGGATATTGCATTAAGACTGAGAGACGACAGTGTAATCGACAATAATACTAGATTCAACAGATGATGCTGAAAAGGAAAATTTTCCCATCCAATTTCTTAAAAGTATTACTCCTTCGGGAATGCCGTGTCATAAATTAGAATTGAAAGTAAGTGCAATCATCATGCTACTGAGAAATCCTAATAGTATATGGGGTCTTTGTAATGGTACTAGATTTATTATCAAAAGATTGCGACCTAACATAATCGGAGCTGAAGTATTAACAGGATCTGCGGAGGAGAGGTTGTTCTGGTTCCAAGAATTGATTTGTCCCCGTCTGACACTGACCTCAGTGTTAGATTAAGTTTAATCAATTTATCAGTCATTGTTTTTATCAATGTTGTTTATATATTATGTTTTTGTTCTTTTTATATCATGTCCTTGTTGTTGTTATATCATGTTGTTATTGTTTATTAATCACTTTATAATTTTCATATACATTTTACTAATTTTCTTTCATCTCTGACACTTCTATTATAGAAAAAAGGGGAATAGCGATATTAAAATATTTCTTCTAATTAATTTCCTTTCATTGTGCATGAATTCGTGCACTGGGCCACTGGTATATATATATATGTTTTTATTGATTTCAGAGAGGAAGGGAGAGTGAGAGTGAGATAGAAACATCAGTGATGAGAGAGAATCACTGACTAGCTGCCTCCTGTATGTCCCCCACTGAGGATCAAACCCACAACAACCCGAACATGTACCCTGACCAGAAATCGAACCATGAGCTCCTGGTTCATAGGTAGATGCTCAACCACTGAACCACTCTGGCCAGGCCAACTCAAACTTTTTTTAACCAAAAACTTAGTACAAATACATCATTTTACTTTGTGACTCAGAGCACACATATGTATCTGATACAATAGTTTTGTAAAACTTATCTTTACAAAAGATAATCTCTGATATTTTCTATTTCATTTGAATTCATGTTAAACAAAAATTCAAGATGTCACACATTCAATTGATTTATTGGGTTATAAGCAGTAGTACCTGAAAACTGGTCTTTGGCCTACAACCTTCCCTCTCCCTGTGTCAGTAAATACTAATGATATTTAGTATTAATCAATGCTTCTCAATGCACATTGGATCAGTACACACACACACACACACAAATCCTTAATATTCTCCATTGTTCTCAGGATAATGTATGTTTTTTAGCATGACATTTCTATCCCACCAAATATGCCACTCCTTTACTAGTCTCATTTGTTGCCATTCTAGGTAGCACCACCACCACCACC